CTTTGAACTTCTTTAAGGACTCCTTTGAAGATTTTTAATATATATTGGTGCTCCAATATTGGGTGTATATATGTTTACCAAGGTTATATCTTCCTGTTGGATAGATCCTTTCAATATTATGTAGTGGCCTTCTTTGTCATTTTGAAATCTACTTTATCAGATATATGTATTGTTACCCCAGCTTTGCTTTGCTTTCTGTTTGCTTGAAAGATTTTTTTCCGTCCCTTCACTTTCAACCTATTTGAGTGTTTTGTTGTGAGGTGGGTCTCTTGTAAACAACATATATATGAGTCATGCTTTCTTATCCAATCAGCTACTCTGTGTCTTTTTATCAGAGCATTCAAACCATTCACATTAAAGGTGATAATTGATATGTACTTATTTATTGCCATTTTTGTTTAGTGTGGTTCAATTTTTCTTCCTATTTCTTCTGCTAATCACAGCAGTCTTTTTAGCATATTTTGCAGTTCTGGTTTGTTGTTAATATATTTCCTTAGCCTTTTTTTTTTTTTTGTCTGGGAAGCTCTTTATTTGACCTTCTATTTTGAATGATAGCCTTGCTGGGTAGAGTAGTCTTGGATTCAGATCCTTGTTTTTTATGACCTTGATTACTTCATGCCACTCCCTTCGGGCCTGTAGTGTTTCTGTTGAGAAGTCAGCTGAGAGCCTTATGGGGTTTCCTTTGTAGGTAACCTGTTGCTTATCTCTTGCTGCCTTTAGGATTCTCTCTTTGTCTTTAATTTTTGGCATTTTAATTACTATATGTCTTGGTGTGGGCCTGTTTGGGTTCTTCTTAGTTGATTGAGGCTCTCTGTGCTTCTTTAACTTGAATGCCTTCTTCCTTCACCAAGTTAGGAAAGTTTTCTGTCACTATTTCTTCAAATATATTCTCTAACCCTTGCCCATTTTCTTCCTCTTCGGGGACTCCTGTGATGCAAATGTTATTGTTTCCAGTTGTCCCACAGTTCTCTTAAGCTGTCTTCTTGTTTTTAATTGTTTTTTCCTTTTGGTTTTCTGAGTGGTTTATTTTTTTCTACCCTGTCTTCTATTTCACTGCTCCAGTTCTCAGCTTCCTCTACTCTGCTGGTTAGTCTGTCCAATGTGTTCGTAATTTCTGCTATGTCATTCTTCATTTCCATTGGTTGGTTTTCATTTTTTCTATATATTTACTTATGGTGCTGATATCTTTACTCATGCTGTTGACCTTCCTCAAGATCATGGCTCTGAACTCTACCTCTGATAATTTGCTTAACTGCATTTCATTGATCTAATCTTCGATAGAGTTCTCTTGTTCTTTCATTTGGGATTTGTTTCTTTGTTTCACCATTTTGGCTATCTCAGTGGGTTTTGGAGCCTGCCAAATTTTCCCTGTAGGTGTTGGTGTTCTGCTGTTTGTGGCTCCCTCTACTGCACTTGGATGATCCTGGGTGGGCCCACGTTAAACACCACTGTCAAGTCACTTTCTTGGGTAAATTTGCAAGCCCAGGAAACGTTCAGTTGTCCTCTAGCTTTTTCCTGGTGGCTAGTAGTCTCAGTTACTCAGTGCCTTGGAATGTAGCCTTGGTGTTCTGCATAAGAGGATTTCCAGAGGGTGGGATAGATGCTAGTTGTTAATGAGCCTCAGTTTGCATTTCTTTGCCTCACTTGGGAAAGGCTAAATCTCAGAGGTGGGCGGCTGCTACTTTTCCCCACAGCTTGGGGAAGGAGCGCAATGGCCACCGCCCTTTGTGGCCACTACTCAGCAAAAACTCTGAGTGCCCTCCAAATCCCAGGTGTCCCCACAGAGTTCCAGCCCAGTCTGCCGTCCCTCTGCCGTAGCCCCCAGATGAGTGACTATGGCTATTTTAGCGCTCTGTCTGGGCTCTCTGTGCTGTGGAGTGGGCTTGGTCTTTATTCCCCAAGGGCACTGCTCACAGCTACGTCTGCTGCTGTCAGTGGGCTCCCAGATCACCACTCTCTCGTGCCTCCGCAGATCCTACCAGTGTCCCTGGTTATATGGTCCTGTCCTGCTGCTTTTCTGTTGTTTTTTTACCAAGGATTTGTCTTTATTTTAGTTGTAATTCCCGTTTGGTCCTGGTAGATAGTCTGTGTAGCTTCTATTCACTCTGCCTCCTTTTTCACATCCTCTAATCCTGTCTTGTGCGCAGCTGGGTCGCCCAGGCCTCTCTGGTGCCCCTGCACCCTGCAGGTCCCACGGGTAACTGGATCGCACAGTCCCTTTGGGGACCTAGCTCTATGCCTATCTTATGGGCTTCTGGGTTGCACAGGCCTCTCTGATGTTTTAGCACCCTGCCGGTCCCATGGGCATCTGTATTGCACAGTCCCTCCTGGGTCCAACAGGCCTCTCTGGTGCCCCAGAACCCCACAGAACCCACGGGCAACTGGCTGGCACCAGTTCCTCTCTGGCTCTGGCTTCCCACTGCAATTGTGAGCTGCTTGACCGCACAGGCCTCTGTGGAGCCCCATGCCCTGCTGCTGGTGGCTGGGGAGTGCTGCTGCCCCTTGGGGCTCAACTTCTGCTCAGCTTTTGCTGTAGTTTTTTGGAGATGGGTCTCAACTGCTGGTCTGTGCTTCTGTTGCCTGGGGATGGCTGTCTGCTCCCCAGCCTCTGTTGCTGGGGGTATATCTTGACTCTGATCAGGCTGCTACTATGGGGGATGGTGCTGGGCTCCTGGCTGTCCGTGTCTTCCACGACCAGCACTTTGGCAGCTCCTCTACTGTGCACCAGTCTGCGTTGACACAGAATGTCCACTGGTCCAATGGTGCCAGGTGTGCTGGTGGGCTCAGGTTGCTGGGCCCTAGCTGCTCCCTCTGCCTTTTCCCAGGGAAGACCTGGGATCTTCCAAAATGGTGGGACCTCCCCACGGCTCAGGAAAAAGCGCCCCGAAGAGCCCCTTACTATGGTAGCCAGCTGCTCCCGTCCACAGCACAGGAACCTTCTGCTCTGCGTCTCTGCACTGCAGGAGTTTGGTCGTCCACCTTCATGTCCACTCACACTCTTTCACACATTAGCTCACTCTCTCACACACTCACCTTCCCTCCGGTCCTGCCTGCCACCATCTTCTTCTAACTAAGAGATTTTAAAAATTATCAGTATTACTATATGTCGTGATTCTATGGTCAGTAATCTGGGTAGGGCTCAGGTGTGTGTGCTCAGGGTCTTCTTCTTTTCTGTCTTGTTCTTTTTAAATAGATATTTATCTCTTTATTATTTATCTCTTTGAGATTTCTAAATATCATTACTTTAAATTTTTTGTTGGACTGTTTTATAAAGTTAAATCTATATAGAGAGAATTTTTGTTCTGATGATTTTTGAGCTATTTTCTTTGCATTACATTTCTTCATATGTGTGGTTTGTCCCCACAGCTCACTCATCTTTGCATAGAGGTTTCATGGTTGCCTCACTTAGGCTCTCTCACTTCTGAGTGGGGAGTACAGAGGAAGTTTGTTTCCTGTGTCAAGGCCATGCGTCTGTCTTCTTTACTTCAGGCCAGTAGCTTCTTAATATAACCTAATGGCCTCAGGATGAATAGTCGGAAGAAGAGGAACTGTGGTGGAAGTTCCACACCTGTCTTTCCTGTCTCCTATCCCCCTGCCACCTAGTCCCTTTTCACACCATTTTACTACATCCCTGTCAACCCCACTTTATGTCATCTTTGGCTTTGAGCGTGTGCCTGACAAGTTTCCTGACTTATACAGATGGATTTTTAATTCATGCTCTTTCACAAACTTTTGATTTCACTGTTTAGTAGAGTATTGGAATTCTGTATTTATAAATGTAAAATAGTTGGGTTAATTATTGGAAATTTAAAAAAAATTTAATCTATTTCATTAGGCTGTTTTATTTTTTATTCATTTTTATTTTTTGGATGGTGCCCAGGGATCTGACTTTTTTTAAAATTGAAGTATAATTGGCATACTTGGTTAGTTTCAGGTATATGTCATAATGATTTGATATATGCATTATGAAATGACCACAATAAGTCTAATTACCATCTGTCACCATACAAAGTTATTAAAATATTACTATATTCCCTATGCTGAACATTAGAACCCGTGACTTATTTTATAACGGTAAGTTTGTACCTCTGAATCCCCTTCACCTAGTTTGCCTGCCCTCAACCCCTTCCCCTATTATTGGAAAATTTTAAGATCCATTTGTTGCATTTAGACTACTTAAGAAGTTTTAGACACTTGACAGAGGGGGAGGTTGGGATTCATTTTTTTTTAAAGCTCTAGGGAGACACATTTTATATATCATAAAATCCCCCACTTAAAGTATACATACAATTCAGTGATTTTTAGTATATTCACAGAGTTGTGAAACCATCACCACTTTCTAATCCCAGTACCTTTTTTAATCATTCCAAAAAGAAGTCCAGTACCTTTTAGCAGTCACTCCTCATCCCCCCTCCACCAAGATCTTGGAAACTACTAAGCTACTTCCTGTCTCTATGGATTTGCTATTCTGGACATGTTATATAAATGGATTCATATAATATGTGCCTTTGCGTATGTGATAATTAAGTTACTTGTCTTTCATTGTTGCTGTTGAGATGTAAGAGTTCTTTATGCTGGATACAAATTTCTTGTTAGATATATGATTTGCAAATATTTTCTCCAAATCTGTGAGTTGTCACTTTTTTGATGGTGTTCTTTGATGTACAGTAGTTTTAAATTTTGATGAAATCCAGTTTATCTGTTTTCTTTCTTTGCTTGAGCTTTTGGTTTCATATTAAGAAATTGTTGCCTAGCCCAATGAAGATTTATTTATATATTTTCCTGTAGAAGTTTTAGAATTTTAATTCTTATATTTAGGTGAAGAGTACATTTTGAGTTAATTTTTGTGTATGATGTGAGATAGGGGTTTACATTCATTGCTTTGTGTGTTGATGTCAAGTTACCCTAGCATTTTTTAAAAACTGCATTAATTTTTATGAACAAAGTTGACTCAGAACTGAACTGTAATCATAATTCTGTTGTTTTTCTCTGTTTTATAGAACATATTTTTAACCAAAGATGGGACAATACAACTTGGAGATTTTGGAATAGCTAGAGTTCTTAATAGGTAACATACCAGTTTTAAACTTTGTTTAGATATGTTTTTAATGACATTTCAATTGATGATGTGTATGTGATAACTTATATCTTTAAGTATCTTAAGCTTCTCCAGTAATTCTTTTACTTTGTTCTAGTACGGTAGAACTGGCTCGAACTTGCATAGGGACCCCATACTACTTGTCACCTGAAATCTGTGAAAATAAACCTTACAATAATAAAAGGTATTTAAAATATTTATTACATGTATATTTCCTTTAAATCTTTGTTATGCTATATTTATTAGCCTTGGAATACTATTCTAAAATTAGTAATATACATATATAAATATATATTTGTATACACACACATTTTTTTAGTATATTATGAGGGCAATTGTAAAGAAGCTATTCAATATCTTGCTAAAGGAACTATAGAAAGAATCACGTTACTATTTAAATTATATTTGGAAATAGACTGCTTTCTTTGGTCTTTCTCTTTGTAATAGTAACTTCTTATTGAATTATAATAGTTAATATTTATTGAACTTGTTCTGTACAATGGATACTGTTTTGTATGCTTTCTATGTATTAATTCCTAATCTTAACAGTAACCTTGTAAGTTGTGTGTATTAATCATCCTCCTTTTCCTTGTAAGGAATCAAATGCAGAGAGGTGTAGAGTAACTTCAAAGTTCCAGGCATCTGGCTTCCAACCTCGGTTTTCTAATAACTGAGCTGTGCTATGGTTACCAGATTGTATATTTAGATGAGAAGAGGAATTCTGCCACTGAATTCCAACTACCATTTATTTTTTCTCACTCTTCCTAATAGAAAAATGCCAACTAAATAAATATCGGTCTTAATTTCGAAAGTGCTCATAGAACCTAAAAGGAAGAAAGTGGTAGCTGACATTAATATATCTATTTTTTATTGCTATCTGCCCTCTCTCTCCCCCTTTCTTTTTGAGGATGAGGACGAAGCTGTATTTCAAAATAGAGCAGTTGAGGCTGAGAACATCCTAGCAATGTATTTTAAAAATAAACTTGTATTACAATATTTGGAATATATTTCAAACTTGTATTACAATATATTCCATGGAATATATTATTAGTGGATATTCTAAAGGATAACAGCATTTTCTTTGAACTAAAGTAATTTTACATTTTAAGTAAAATCTTATAAAAATGTTTTCATTATTGTGTTTTCTAGTGACATTTGGGCTCTGGGATGTGTCCTTTATGAGATGTGTACACTTAAACATGCAGTAAGTAGAAGTTTCTGAAATATTTTTAAAATTAGGTCAAAAAGGGACTGTAATATTTTTGTTTTAAATACTGTACGCCATCTTTCAGATGACCCTCTTGTACTAGAAATTGTTCTTTATCAGTTTTAAGTGTCTCAACTTTTCTGAAGTATAAATTTTAATTGATGTTCCCTTAAAATGTATGCATATATTACATATTGCATGTTATATATTTGTTATAATACATATATCATACTTTTTACCCAAAAATTATTTCTAAAGACAGAAATAAATTTGCTGTCCTTTATTTATTTATTTATTTATTTATGTACTTACTTAAAGAGAGGAAGAGAGCAGGAGAGAGAGAAACATCAGTCGGCTGCCCCCTGCACGGCCCCCTACCAGGGATCAAGCTTGCAACCTGGGCATGTGCCCTTACCAGGAAATGAACTGGCAACCTTTCGGTGCATGGGATGATGCCCAAACAACTGAGCCACACCAGCCAGGGCAATATGCTGTCCTTTTAATGTTAAATTCATATATGAATTTGATATTTTAGCTTAAATTTTTAGTTTCATTTTTGCATTTGTTATTGAAATACCCAAATTATTTTAGTTCAGAATTCAAATTATCTAAGGAACATTTTTCAACATACTTATCAAGGGATTTTTGTCAATTTAAATGCTCTTTAATTCAGAGTTCTTAAAAATTTCACTTTTGAGACTCTTTGGAAATGGCACATACCACACCAAAAGGGGAAGCTCTTCTCCTAAATAGGTTGATTTTTTATTTTTATTTTTTCAATTCTCACCAGAGGATATTTTCCCATTGATTTTCAAATAGAGTGGGAGGGAGGGGGGCAGAGAGAGGGAGAGAGAAACATCGACGTGAGAGAGACACATGGATTGGTTGTCTCCTGCACAACCTCAGCCAGGGTTGGGTATCGAATAGCAACTGAGGTAGGTATGTGCCCTTGACTGAAATCGAACCTGAGATTCTTTGGTCCTTAGACCAACACTCTAACTGCTGCACCAACTGCCCAGGACTAAATAGGTTGATTTTTAATCACTTTCTATTTCAGAATTTGCTTTGTAAAAATTCTTCCCCCATTGGTCAAACACTAGTGTGCTTTCAATACAGAAAACTTAAGAAAATACATAAAAATAGAAAGAAATGAATAAATATCAAAAGCAATTCTTTCAACCAGTGATGACTATAATATTTTATCATTTACTTTGAGGCTTTATTTTGAATAATTTATAAAATGAGTCTGTTCTGTTTTTCTTATATTGTATAATAAGTTTTATTATACTGTATAAGCAGTTTTATAGCCTGTTTTTTATTGCCTAATATTATTTGAGGAATATTTTTCTTTTGTTGTGTTTTTTTTTCCCCCATGTTTGCATACTCTCCTACTGTTTGCTTTGGATTTTTTATTTTTTTCTTAAGGAAAAAATTATAGACTGACAAAGTGATGTGGGATGGTGGTTATTAGATCTGTATTTGAAGGAATAGATTATCTTTCTGTGACAGTCATTTTAAGTCTAAATCAGAGGATTTCATTTTATTTATTATTATTACTTTTTGTTGTTAATCCTCACCCAAGGATACTATTTCCATTGATTTTTAGATAGAGTGGAAGGGAGGGAGAGAGAAAGAGAAACATCTGTGTGAGAGAGACACATCAATTGGTTGCCTCCTGCATGATCCCAGCCAGGTCTGGGCACTGAACCTATAATCCAGGTATGTGCCCTTGACCCTTCTGTCTGAGGGCCAAAGCTCTAACTGCTGAATCAAACTGGCCAGAGTGAAATCAGAGTATTTAAAAAAAAAAAAATGATTTGTCTGCATTTAACTGTCACCATTGCTTCTGTATATTGAAATTGTCTGTGCTCTTAAGTAGGCATGTGAAATAAAGTAATTTATCTTACCTTTATTAATATGAAGAATTTGTCAGTTGGGAGATAGATGAAAATTCTTTGTAGTGAAACGGGTAGAGTAACATGTCTTTCTGCATTTAGGATTTCTTCTTATGTACATAAAATTTCTAGACAATTGAATTGTATTCAAATTTTAATAAACTGAAGGACATACTTTAAATGTGCTAGGAGAATTAAACATTTAACAGAACTATTTTATAATTGACGTAGTCACCAATGCCTAATTTATACCATTTTGTTTTCTTAATGTGTATACATATTAAGAACACATCAATAATGTACAACTGTTCTATACTATTTTAGCTGAGATGTCAAAGCTTAATTTTGCTTATTCTCTAAATGAAATCTTCTTTAGTGTTTAAACTGCCCACTCTGGTTTTGTTTTTGCTTTTTTATTTTATCTAGAGTTTATATTGTGTTTAATACTAAAATATATAGTGTTCCAATTGATATGATTTATATTCCCCTTTGGAATATTTGCCACATTGTTGACCATGGGTTGGTAACATCACACACTTAAAAATAGTGATAATGAGCAGTGCTTCAAAGGAAAGTAATTAACCTGACCAGTGTGGATTGCCCCATGGACTGAGAGGTCCCAGTTCGATTCCCAGGCATATGCCTGGGTTGCAGGCTTTGGGGGCATGCTTGATGTTTATCTCTCACATTGATGTTTCTCTCTCTCTCTCTCTGAAAAATCAATAAAAACATTTTTTTTTTTTTAATCCTCACCCAAGGATATTTTTTTTCCATTTTTTGTTCAGGTAGAGTGGGAGGGGGAGAGAGGAACAGAGAGAGAGAGAAACATCAACGTGAAAGGGACACATCGAGTGGCTGCCACCCGTACAACCAAACAGAGCCAGGGACAAACTGCAACCGAAGTACGTGCCCTCAGTGGGAACCGAACCCGGGTCTCTCGACACCGCAGGCCGATGTTCTAACCGCTGAGCCAAACCGGCCAGGGCAATAAAAACATATTTTTAAAAAATAAATAAAAATAAAGGGAAAGTAATTAGTACGTTTATTTATTATATTTTTTCCAAATACTTTTAGTTCGGTAATTGATTTCTTACTGTAGTTACCACAATATGAGCATAGGAAGTCAGGTCTTAAATGAAGACTACCAGGTTTGTTTGTTTGTTTGTTTTACTATCTTTATTATTGTCATGTTCTTATAAAATCTTTATTACTTATATCCCATCTCTTAGTGTTTTGAATAAGTAAAAATCTTATAGCAAGTTATAAGACATTATGAGGACTGGCATTTTCTCTTAAATATGTTTATAAATAACCAAGAGAAAAAAAATAACCAAGTGAACCTTGCTCTAGAGAACATATGTGATTAAAATATTTGGAAGAGGACTGTATTTTTGTTCAGTGTTGATAGGAAGTAAACTATTTGTCATTGTTGATATTCCCATTTTCAATGTATGTTTGATATATGTTAATTTATTTTTTTTAAATTTTAGTTTGAAGCTGGCAATATGAAAAACCTGGTACTGAAGATAATATCTGGATCTTTTCCACCTGTGTCTTTGCATTATTCTTTTGATCTCCGCTGTTTGCTCTCTCAGTTATTTAAAAGGAATCCTAGGGATAGACCATCAGTCAACTCCATATTGGAGAAGGGTTTTATAGCCAAACGCATTGAAAAATTTCTCTCACCTCAGGTATGTTTTTTACTTTAGAATTAAAATTGAATAGTAGGGTTATGGTGCTTAATTAGAACATGCCCTCTGTTTTGAGGAGAGCAAACACATCAGAACTTGAGGGGAATGAAGTGCTTTTTTCAAATACTACTGGAGTCACCTTCCTTTTCATTCTGTGTAACTCCCCCTTCCTATTTGCTTTCCATTTGTGAATCTGGAGGAGGGAAAACATTCCTTCTGTGTCTCCTCTTAGCACTTAATTGTTGACTTCTGATTGCAAAATGTGTGGTCATTTTTACTCACATCAGGAAGTTCTGTGATACCAGCTGGGCGTCCTACAATTCCACTCAGTTCTGACACCATACTTGGAGATAGCATCAGATTCTGCAGCCTCGGAACCCTGCCCCACTTCAGAAGCTGTTGCAAGTCCAGTTTGTCACTTGTGCTTCTGACCAACCAGCTGTAAATCAGAGGTCCCCACAACCCACTCCTTGGGTTCTATTAATTTGCTAGAGCAGCTCAGAGAATACAAAGAAACATCTACCAGTTTATTATAAAGGATAGTATAAAGAATACAGAATAACAGCCAGATGAAGAGGTACATAGGGTAAGGCTCACAAGGGTCCCGAGTGCAGGAGCTTCTTGTCCCTGTAGAACTGGGCTATACCACTTTTCTGGCTTGTTTACCAACCTGGAAGTTCTCCAAACCCATTTCTTTGTTTTTTTGTGTGTAAGTTTCATTATGGAGGCAAGATTGATTAATCATAGGCCCTTAGTGATTGATTCGACCTCCAGCCCCCTTCTTCTGGAGGTGGGGGGTGAGGAGGAAAGTGGGACTAAAAATCCAACCCTCTAATCACTTGGTCAATTTCTCTGGCAACCAGCCTCCATCCTCCTGAAGGTCGCTTCATTAACATAAATTCAGATGTGGTTGAAATGGGCTTGTTATAAATAACAAAAGACAACTTTATGAACTTAATAGTTAGGAAATTCCAAAGTTTTAGGAACCATGTGCCAGGAACTGGATGAAGATCATAGATATTCTTAATCCTCACCTGAGGATATTCTTTTATTGATTTGAGAGAGAGGGGAATGGAGAGAGAAACATTGGTCAGTTGCCTTCCATGCATACCCTCCATCATGAGGTTGTTATAAGAATTAAAAGTGATACTGCATATAAAGTGCTTAATATCTAGAACATACTAAGTATTCAGTAGTATTAATATATTACTTTATTCTAATATAAATATATTAGTATAATTTATATTATTTTAGTCTACTTGATAGAAAATGACTGGAAGTCCTTGTTCTGTGGGCATTTATTTATATGTATGTATAATAGGTTGTTGACTCATTCTGTAATATTTGTATATAGGTGCATAATAAATATTTAAGTTGAACTGAATTTTAATTTGACAGGACTTACAAAAATATATAACAAATTAGCATTAATTATTAATATAAATATCACCTGAAACTGGACTTATTCTACATTACATGTTTTGTGTGGTCTTTGTTAATTTAAGTGTTCACTATTAAACGCTTCTGTAATCAGACATCTAGCAAAATCATAGTTTTATTACTTTTGTATGCTTGTGAGAGGAAAGAGAAGTGTCATGTATCTTTTGGCTTAACAGAACGCCTGTATGACCAAATACTCTTCAGAAAACACAGATGTGGATTCAACTATTACTACCAGGAGAACACATTAGTAAGCAAGAAAGCCAATTAAAATTTAAAGGTTAAAATGTACTCGTATATGATGTAGCAACAATTTCTGAAATGTGGGTGTCTTAAGAGACTCCTTTGTTATAAATAACACTTTCAAGAACAGTTTTATGATGTAATATAATATTGTTTTTTGGCAAGTATTAAAGAAGAAAGAATGATTTCATTTAATCTTGCTAAGGCTTCTTTCTCAATACCAGCAGTCGGGACATATAGTCTCACGGCTAAAGCACTGGAACTCAACTAGCCAGCAGTAAAAGAAAATAATCAAGGCTGATGTATGTAGAACTTACAATATGGGAGGAAAAAAAAGGGCAGAATATGATTATTAACAAATGGAGTATTTGACATTGCATGTTAAGTATATATATATATAGCCCCTTGTTGCTATTTAAACACCATTTTTATTTATTTCATGCTTTGCGAAAACCCTTAATATTTGTTCTTAAGATTTATTTTTTACTATATAGTCATGTGCTGTTTAACGACAGGGTATGTTCTGAGAAATGCATTGTTAAGGTAATTTCGTCATTGTGTGAACATCATAGAGTACACGTACACCTAGATTATATAGCCTACTGTACACCTACGCTAAATGGTAAATTACTGTCATATATGTGGTCCCTCATTGAACGAAACAGAAACATTATGTGGTGCATGACGGTAATATCACTTGTTCAGTATTCTAGTGAGAAAGTTTGTGATACATATTTTGAGGCTTTAACTTTTAAACAAATTATGAGCTCTACTGCAACTTATGAACTATTATTTTCAGAATCACTACCTCTCAGTCTCGCACACTCTGGAAACTTCCTGGATGTGGCTTGACAAATCAGAAATAAGCTCTGATTCACTAGGTATTCTATTAGGTGCTGTTCAATAATACTTTCTCTGATGGCAAAGTGTTTTGTATCTGCATTGTCCATTGTTGTAGCTGCTAGCCACCTGTGGTTGAGCATTTAAAGTATGACTGGTGTGACTGAGGAGCTGAATTTCAAATTACATTTATTTAAAATTTTAATCCAAATAGCTTCATATGGGTAGCAACTGTATTGGACTGGACAGCACAGCATAGGGATTCCAGAATCTTCTTGAAGTCTACATGCCCCTTCTCTCAGTTCATATTCGCATTTGCACAGAGGAAAAGAAAGACTCACATTCAGACAGTGGAAGAAATTACCCAATACGGACGAACTGGAGATAATACATCACCCATTTTCTTCCATGAATAAAAGGGAAAAAATGCAAAAGTTGCTCTAAGTGCCCTGTGAACCACACGAGTCTTATATTTATATTTATCTCCTGGTGCAGTTCTCGAACTTGTGCATACATAAAACTCACTTTGAGGGTATTGCTGGGTCCCACCCCTACAATTTCTGTTTTGGTAATTCAGAGGTGGAGCCTGAGAATTTGCATATTTAATAATTTTCTGGTAATGCTGATTCTGTTGATATGAGACTTTGAGAACTGCTGTAGGGGGATCCTTGATGGGAAAGATGACCATCTCAGTTATGTTTTGTGGCTGTTGGAGCTTCTGGTCCACTGCCACTGTAGGAATAGTCTCTCCTCCAGGGCTTACTTCTCTTGAAAAGAGAAAATTCACTTGCTTCCCCTTCCAGTGAGTAGGAGGAGAAATTTATTTGCAGGAAATACTAATGATTTTCGCTTCTCAAAATATGTTCATACATGCTAGGGAATAAGTAGAGTGTTTTAGGAATAGTAAAAAGAGATACTTGTTAAATTTTATAAGAATATTTGAATATTTAATATGTTTACATTTATATATTGATAAGAGTGAAAGCTCATTGAAAATGCTGAGAAGATTCAGAGTAAAGTTGAAATAACTGAGAGGTGTGAGAAGGGGATAATGAACTACTTCTTTATCAGTTTTGAAGTAAATAAGGGATATGGATACACATAGAATATAGAGGTTTCTTTCAGATAGGAGGTAGTTGTGTTAAATTGCTGAGATACAGAACAGGCAAGCAGTGTGTGGGGACCCTTGTGGTGCATTAGGTTAATATGAAAGAAAAGCTTGTTTGGAGAAGTAGTAAAAATAAATTGGTAAGATTGGGAGGGAGTTAGCATGAGAGGAGTTTGGTGAATGGATTATTTGGGTTTAATGAGTATAGTTTATTTGGCAGCGTAATTGTGACTGAGAAATGAAAAATAAATATTGTGATTAATGGGTAAGTTTTTTTATTCTGGAAATTTAACATCTTTTCTAACTTTTTTTTCCTCTTTCAATCTAAGCTTATTGCAGAAGAATTTTGTGTAAAAACATTTTCCAAGTTTGGAGGGCAGCTTATACCAGGTAAATGAAATTTAATGAGTCCTTTCATCTGTTTGCAATCAATATATGAGTTATAGTAATTAGTAATATTTACTAATTGTACTAGAGATGTATATAGATATAATAAATTGGGGTAATTGTAGATAAATCTAATCCAGATGAAATGCATATTTATTTATGATTTGACAGTATACAGTCCTTTCTGATTAATAACAAAATTTCCATTTTTTGTCTGCCTTATTCAAATGAAATCTTTCAGCTGGTCTGAGTGCAGTGGTGCCTACAATTAATTGATCACAGCCAGTTACAGATTTCTTTTTCCTTCTCCACTCCCACTGCTTCACTTGACTGGCCTAAAAATAAAAAATAAATGAAATCTGTCTTAGATGTAAATTACAGCATAGGGAATATAGTCAGTAATATCATAGTAACTCTGAATGATGCCAGTTGGGTACTAGATTTATCAATGTGATCACTTTGTAAGGTTATATAAATATTTAATCACCAGATTGTACACCTGAAACTAATATAATATTGTTTGTATACTATAACTGAAAAATTTTAAAAATTACTTAAAAAAGAATTAATGAAATGATAGTGGAGGAGGAGAAAATTAAGAGTCAGTTTGTAACTTGACATTCTGCTGGTGCTGCACTGTCAGCTTCCTAAACAGAACCTAGCCTTCTGGATGTCGTGCTCAGTACATAGAGTCCAGTGTGCTGACATTCTAACCATACTCAGGCGTGGCCTTCCACCGAGTATTTCTCATCAGTCCCTACTTGTAGGCAGCTTCCATCTCCCTTTGTCAGTGTGCAGCACCAGCTACATACAGTGGTCTGCGATGACTGCACATCAGTGGGCTGTAAGACATGCCATCCATGGACCATGTATTAAAAATCTCCAGGACATTGAGGATGGTCCTAGGGTTTCAGAAATGCCTATAGATAAACAAGTAAAGCTTGCTCAATGCCTTGCTGTACTTCGAGACCAAAAAAAGACAGTGTACTGTCTTAAAAACAGTGCTTTAAGACAGTGTAGTGAAACTATGTTGCTGAATTGGTTAGTATGCATTAAATTCACACTAATTATTTTAATGACTACTTTTTTAAAATTAATTAATTTTTGTTACAAATGTTTCTCCTTTTTCCCCCCACTTATTCCCCCTCCCCCTCCCTCCCTGCCCTGTCCCCAGCTTTGTTGTCCATGTTCATTATTCATGCATGCATACATATACGTTCTGTGGTTTATCTCTCCCCCACCACCCCCTCTTCTGGGGATTGTCAGTCTGTACCCCACTTCCACGTCTCTGGGACTACCCCATTCCTCAGACTGTTATGTTCATTATATTCCACAAATAAGTGAAATCATATGATACTTGTCTTTTTCTGTTTGGCTTGTTTCACTTAGGATGATACTTTCCAGGTCCCTCCATGTCGTCTCAAAGGATAAGAGATCTTTCTTTCTTACAGCTGCATAGTACTCCATTGTGTATATGTACCACTGCTTTTTCATCCATTCATCTACTGATGGACATTTGGGCTATTTCCAGATCTTAGCTATTGTAAATAGTGCTGCTACAAACATGGGGGTACATATATTCTTTCTGTTAATGACCACTTTTTAATGGTTCTGTTCCTTTTCTGGTTGTCATTTGGTGGTGGGTTTCCATTCTATTAATGTGATAGAGTTTTTACAGACCAGCACGTCTGCACAGAGTGAAACCTGCAGCGAGGCCAAGGAACACATAGTGTGACGTGTCTGCACAGAGGCCTTGGTTACATTTCCCTGTTAGTGGAAAGGTTGGTCTAGATTGCAGGGATGAAAAATAAATATTTTAAAGGAAAAAATAACGTGTAGTATGTCTTGAAAATTTTTATCTTTATCAAATGCTTAGGTGATATTCAGAGAACATTGTCATAGAATGTTATAAAATGTCTTAGCTAAGTGGGTGCATTTTTTTATTTATTAATTTTTATCCTCACTCGAGGACATTTTTTGATATTTTGTTCAGATAGAGTGGGAGGGGGAGAGAGAGAGAGAAACATCGATGTGAAAGGGACACGTCGAGTGGTCGCCACCCACATGACCCAACCAGGGCCGGGGACAAACTGCAACCAAGGTAACCTACACTTAGTGGGAACCGAACCCGGGTCTCTCCAGACCGCAGGCCAACGCTTTAACCACTGAACCAAACTGGCCAGGGCATAAGTGGGTGCATTTTTATATTAAATGTTTTTCTTTGAGAAATACTTCATATTCTATAATTTAAAAAATAAACTAATGTAAAGTTAGGTACCTTATCAAGGATAATTTTTTTTTAAATGTGGCCATCAACAGGATATTTGTAGCATTGTGGGTATGGTTTTTATACCATGTGTGTATGCATATATTTGTGTGAGAGGGATATTATATATTTTCTACATAGAATAATTTCAGAATGGATTTCTAAAATCAGTGAACGTTATTTAAGATTTGAAGAGTATATTGTTTTTTAAACGTAATGTTTTTTATGTTTTACTCCATTTTGAGTTTGTGTATGTTAATAAAAGCTAATGCTATGTCATGAAACTGGGTCCCTATGACTGACTGTGCATTCTCTGGAAGGCCAGCTGTACTTACTAGCTCTCCTCAAAGACTCTTAGACTCATCTTCTCAGTATGAAGAGACTTTATCAGTTTCTGGAAAATCAATTCTAAATAAAATTCACAGGGACAGACACGGCAGAATCAGCACATCCCTCTTGGCAGTCAAAGCCAAGCCTCATAAGAAGTCACATCTTCATTAAAAGCCTCATTGTCACAAAGCCCAGAAATACCCCATGTCAGCACATTCTTTCCACATGCCTAAGCCTGCATAGGAATTAGAAAGTTATTTTGTTGTAAGAGTTGGATGGATGTAACGTTTAATAGCATGGGGCTCAAACAGGACTTGTATTGCTGATGGGCTGTAAATATTTTGTGGGCTCCAACTCCCTATATTCTTTATCCTACTGGTAGCCTTGTCTGAATCTGAGAAATGCTCAAGAATCAGATAAGTAATTCTCCTTCTTCTCTTGAGAGTGAACAAGAACTATTTGTATAGTTTCTTGGTACTTTTCATTTTTATGCTTTTGTGCCTCTTGCCCCCTTTCTGGCATACAGAGTATTTCTTAGGTGATGTGAACACATGTAGCCAGTTTACAATGTTGTGACTTTGTATATCTGTGGTCTAGATTAATTTTATAGTTGAACTCTCACAGGGAAATTTTTTCACATTTCCTAGTTCCTGTCAGGGTACAGTTGGAGTATGGTTTGGCAAACCTTACACTAACATGCTATATCTCATCTCTTCAACCCAAATTATTTATGAATCTCTAAACTGCCAATCAAATGGCTAATATTATTTTTATTTTTATAAGAGTTTACTAAGTTATATGAATAATATGTGTTCATTATAAAAATTGAAAGAAGGAAAAAATGATCTCTAATCTTAATACATAGTTATATTTGTTTTTATTTCCTGTGATAACACTTGTATAACTATTGAAAATTGAGATTGTGTTATAAACAAAGGTTTGTTTCTTTTAAATTACAATGTTATATGACGGTCATTTTCTTTTTTTTTTTTTGTTTCTTTAAATTACAATGTTATATGACGGTCATTTTCTTTTTTTTTTTTTTTAATCCTCGCCCAAGGACATTTTTCCATTTTTTGTTCAGATAGAGCGGGAGGGAGAGAGAGGAAGAGAGAGAGAGAGAGAAACATTGACGTGAAGGGACACATCGAGTGGCTGCCACCCGCACGACCAACCAGGGCCGGGGACAAACTGCAACCGATATACGTGCCCTTAGCGGGAACCGAACCCGGGTCTCTCTGTACCGCAGGCCGACGCTCCAACCGCTGAGCCAAACCGGCCAGGGCTATGACGGTCATTTTCTAATACAGCTAAATATTCTTTGAAGAACTTAATTTAATGGTGGTATTTCATTGTGAACTACCAGTTAATGTTTTTCTCCTTTCCCCTCCTAAAAAGGAAGAACACTTGTTGGAAGAGATTGATTTGAATTGATTTAGCACATGATAAAATCCTGAGATAGCAGGCTGGAAGAAGCAGAAAGAAAGCTGCTACTTAGGCTGTGGGCATTTTGAGCAGAGGGGTACCTTAGCAGATGTGGAAAGTAGTTAGAGGAAAGAGGGTTTTGGTAAGCAATGATAGAGACTGTACTCTTTGATCTCCTTTAATGTCTCTGAAAGTTGTAAATAGTGAGCTTTCCTTTTAATTACTTTAGCTTAACTGTTTTTCTTCAATGTATCGTCCTAAGAGTGAGCCTTGTCTTGGCTACAGTAAGAGTTTAATACATATGCTACAGGACTTATCCTTTGTATATTAACTTTTGTTTCTCTGATTATTTCTTTAAAATAAATTCATAAGCATTGTTCTTGATATAGATAGCCCTCCAGAAAGTTTGACCAATTTATATTCCCACCAGCAGTATATAAAGGGATCCTTAGCTGTAGTAATGATTGTTTTAAAGTGTTTGTTCTTTAGTAAGTCTGTAAATGTACACATTCAGACTGAATATGAAGGAAATATTAAGCTGCTCATAGTGATAGAATTAATGTTTAACAGTTGTTTTTGAAGTTTATGTTCTGATTTTAAAAGTAACTTCTAAAACAGCAAATTCTTTTTAAAATGTATCTTTAACAGCTTTATTGAGGTGTAAGTCTCATGTCATTCAATTCACCCAGTTAAAGTCTACATTTCAGTGCTTTGTAGTATATGTGCAATCATCACCCACAGTCGATTTTAGAGATGTGCTTTTTTTATATGAGAAATTGAAGCATTTTATAGGAGTGTGGTTTTTGCTTCTTTCAAGAAGCGACTTTCGTAAAATGGTTATAATGAAGGCATTGATGTGTGCTAAGGAGTGAATAATATGCTTAATGAAAAGTTTCAAACTAAATGCTGTCAATGATTATGAAAATGAAAAAGTGCTATCTTGAAGAATTTTTAAATTAAAGCTTTAACTTAAAGAACTCTGGAAAAATTATTTTTATCTTTTCATGTAGCTAAAAGACCAGCTTCAGGACAAAGCTTGGCGTCTGTTGTGTCTGCTCAGAAAATTACAAAGCCTGCTGCTAAGTATGGAGTGCCTTTAATGTATAAAAAGTATGGAGATAGAAAATTGCATGAAAAGAAACCACCCCAAAAACATAAACAGGTATGATCATGTTACAGACTATGTTATTAGTAACAAATTCACTTTGACCTTGTTTTATTGCAGCTCAGTTTAGTTATCTTGATACTCATGGGATTATTTTTATTTAGTAACTAAAGAACACTGCTGTTCTCTGCTTCCTTCACCAGTTTTCCAAAACCAAGAAGCCTTAACAGAAATCATAAAGAAACATTAAGTAAATATATTAGCTAAAGTAGTTGGTACACTATAAAGAAAGTAATGTTATAAATGAAATCATTTTTGCCCTGGCCGGTTTGGCTCAGCGGTTGGAGCGTTGGCCTGCGGACCAGAGTCCCAGGTTCGGTTCCCGCTAGGGGCAAGTACCAAAAAAAAATAAAAAGTAAAAAAATAAATGAAATCATGTTTTAGTAATCTAAGCAGAGCCATTTTTTTATGTGTGCATAAAACAAGGAAATGTGTATGCTTCACTTAATAAAAATCTGGGACATTTTTGTATTTGAGATTTCACAAGCAGATAAATATATCCACAAAGCCCACGTATAGTACATTGACAGCAAAATCCCCTATATTGTAAACTTGTAAAGATTGTCCTCACTGTTTTTGTTCTAAAGCCTGGCTGGCCTCTGAACACACTGCTGTGCAGCTCTCTGATTTGGTGCCTGTTTCCTTCCTAATCCCTCCATACCCCAAGTCGAGGGTGGTATGAGAGAGGTGTTTTCCTTCTCATTGCCAGATTCTTTCCTGCTCCCTAACCGCCCACCCCTTCCCCAAGCTTTGCCACTTTTGCCACTAGGTTAAATCACCTGCTACCCCTTCCTGTTAGGGTCACCTGCAGGCATTCATTTTTTGAAGAGTTTGATACCTGACTCACAGTCACTCTAATCAACACTCATAATTCTTGATAATTCAGTATTCAGAAAAAATGACCCTTCTAATAGTACATGGCCTGTTATTTTCTTGGTTGTTCTCTTTCAATGATCTTGTCTCCTACCATACCTCAGAACTCCACCTGTAGTCATGTCATCTAATTGATATTATTAATGATAGCAACTATTCTGTAGTCTAAATAATAAACATCTCACTCTTTGACCACTACTTCCTATGTGTCCTGCTCATTCCTCAAAGGCTCTGCCTCCAAAACTTCTTTGTCTTATTTAGACCCATGGAACTTCCTAGTTTTTCATTGTCCATCTCCTGCAGTTTGTATGTTCTTCTTCTGGCTTAAATTCCATGTTCTCACATTATAATAATTTCTAAAATCTCAAGTCTCTTGCCCCTATTCTAACTGTTCTCACTTTAAATTTATAACCAACAATGTTAAGTGAGCACCTTCTGGCTACCCTATTGTATTTCCTCAGTCCATTTACTCTCCCATTTTCTAGATGATGATTATTTATTTATTTATTTATTTATTTATTTTTATTTATTTTTATCCTCACCCGAGGACATTTTCCCATTTTTTGTTCAGATAGAGTGGGAGGGAGGGAGGAAGAGAGAGAGAAACATCGACGTGAAAGGGACACATCGAGTGGCTGCCACCTGCACAACGAACCAGGGCGACATATCGAGTGGCTGCCACCCACACAATCAACCAGGGCCAGGGACAAACCGCAGCCGAGGTACGTGCCCTTAGCGAAGTACGTGCCCGAACCTGGGTCTCTGTGGACTGCAGGCCAACGCTCTAACCGCTGAGCCAAACCTGCCAGGGCTATTTATTTATTTTTTAATCTTCACCTGAGGACATTTTTGCATTTATCTTTATGTAGAGCGGGAGGGAGCGAGGGAGGAAGAGAGAGAGAGAGAAACATCAGTGTGAGAGAGATACATCGAGTGGTTGCCACCCACATGACCCCAACCAGGGCCAGGGACAAACTGCAACTGAGGTACGTGCCCTTAGCGGGAACCGAACCCGGGTCTCTGTGATCTGCAGCCTGACACTCTAACCGCTGAGCCAAACCGCCAAGGGCTAGATGATTATTTCTTTTTACCTTCTCCTTGCTTTTAACTTCAGGCTAATGACCTTGCTTCCCATCTCACTGAGTAAATAGAACAATTGGAAGAAAATATATCTATAGTTTTCAACACCACTTCTGTTAGTCATGTCTGTCTGAATTATTCTCCCTTTGTTTCTACTACTTTGATGATCTGTTCTCAACTATAGTCAACTCTGTTTTTTTGTTTTTTTTTTGTTTGTTTGTTTGTTTTTTGAGATTTTTTAATTGATTTTTAGAGAGAGGGAAACATCAATGTGAGAGTGAAATATCAATTGGCTGCCTCCTGCAAGCCCCAAACTGTGGATCAAGCCTGCAACCCGGCATGTGCCCTGACCGGGAATCAAACCAGCAAACTTTTAGTGCACAGGATGATGGCAACCACTGAGCCACTCTGGCCGTGTTGTGTACTGTTACTATTTTTGTCTTCTAAAGGACTTTCTTTATCTCCCATATCTCCTTCCAGCTACTACCCTGTATCTCTGCTTCCTTTAACAGCCCAACTTACCCAAAGCATTGTCTGTGCTGTCTCCCACCCTGCCTTCTCATTTTCTCTTGCTCATTCCCCCAGGGCTTTCTTGTCACAGCTGTTATGAAATAACTATTGACTGAGACATCAGTGACCTGCATACTGTTATGTCCAGAGATCAGCTGTCTTCTTCTACCTCAGCTTTGACTCACTTGATTACCCCTTACCCCTCCTTCTTTAAATATTTTCTTCACTTGAGTCCAAACTATTACATTCTTCTGTTTCTCCTCCCACCCTATTGACTGCTTATCTCAGCCTCCTTTGCAAATTCCTCATGTCCCTGACCTTTAAATGCTGAAGGGCTTAAGGTCTCAGTTTTTGGATAGCTTCCTTTTTTTTGTTCTGGACCACTCTACCTGACAACATCTATAAACACACACAAATTGATATCTTCAGCCTAGACTTCTCTCCTGAACTCCATCTCTAATTGGATTTCGAATAGGCATCACAGAATTAACATGTGTAAAACTGAACTCCCGATTCCACCCACCTCCTTCCCAAATTGTTCTTATTTCAATAAATGGCAACTCAGTCCTTTCATTTGTTCTCATCAAAACCTTTTGGACTCATCATTGACTATCCTTTCAACGAACATCACATCCTAACAACCCTGCCTTCAAAATATACTCATGGTCTGACTATTTCTCATTATTTCTATCACCACTTTAGTCCTCCCCACCCACATCTTTCACCTGGGTTATAACAGTAATCTCCTGACTGATTTCACCGCTTTCAAATGTTTGTTTTTCAGTCTGTTCTCCCTTGAGCAGCCTAAATGCTTTTACAACAAAGGTGAGATTGTTGTACTTTCCGACTTGAAAGTTCCCAGTGGCTTTTCATCTCACGCAGAGTAAAGTCAACATCCTAACAAAGGCCTGCACAGCCCTCTGATACCCTCCTTCCCTCTCTAAGCCTCATTTTCCACTCCCCCCTTGCTATTCCCAGTCCAGCCATGCTAACGAAATCTTGTTGCCCTCAAACATGTCTTGTACTTAATAGAAAGTAGAAAAATGCATTTGCACTTTCTATTCTCTTTTCCTGGAGGACTCTCCCTTGAGAAAACCATGTAGTTTTCTCCATTAGTTTCTTCAGGTCTGTGCTCAAGACCTATGAACAGAGAGAGCCTTCATTCTTGATTATCAGTATATCAAATAACAGGCATTCCTCTGCCCACACCCACAGTTCTATTGCTTTGCTTTTCTACACATTGTTGCCATCTAATGTTGTATGTATTTTTCCTTTATTTGCTTATACCATTAGAGCAGGATTTGTGTTGTTCGTTGGTTCCCGGCAGGTAGCTTAGACTTGGTCAAATCACTCAGATGTTCTTTAAAAGAATGCACAACAACCAAAATTATAGTAAAACCCTCTTTTTACAGAAGCCATTTTGTTATTCTTTTAGCAAATGGATAACTATTAAGAAACAAAACCTGGAGAGAGAAAATGGTAATGGTCAAGTCTCTTGAGAACGCTGTTTTTATTTCATAACTATTTTGTTTAGTTAGAAAGACAAGTGGTCTGCTAGAATTATTACTAGTAGAACTAAAGATACTAAAAATTAGTATAATTCCTTTGACTTCCTATTGTAACCCAAAATTTCAAATGTAAGGATCCTTAGAGCCAGGCTTACTGACATAAAAAACATATAAGGTATGTTCATAGAGAAAACATTTAATGGCCAAGTACTAACCCTACCATATAAATGTCATGCTCATGCTTGTGTATTGAAGACTTTGCAGGATTCAAACTTGCGTTCAGTATACCTTTCTCCCATAATGCTCCTAAATTTGGAGTCTGAGTTAAATCAGACTTAGCACTATTTTCTGATTACACCTGTATATACTTTTCTTTCTTGTCTTTGTTTATTATGTACCCCCTCCTCCTTCTTAAATGTTCTTCTTTTCTTTGCTGCTCTTTCTGTGTAACTAGGTACATGTCACATCGATACTGGATTATTCTGTAAGTCCTTAGAAAGCACAAAGTGAAGACCGTATTTCTTCTCAACTCCTGTAGTCCAAATAAAGAGACAAAGGCCTGAAAAAAGGCAAAAGGAGCACGTGGTGTGGTGACAGCTCACTCTGTTAGCTCTGGATTAAAACGGTGATGCTGCATTATTGTCCAGCAGACGGTTACTTTGGCAGTGTGGCTTCGATGTTTAAAGCTCTTCACTGAGCGCTCTGGCCGGGTAGCTCAGTTGGTTGGAGCGTCGTCATATGCACCAAAAGTTGTGGGTTCAATTCCAGGTCAGGGAACATGCCTAGGTTTAGGGTTATATCCCCAGGCTGGGCACATACAAAGGGCAACCGATAGATGTTTCTCTGTCACATTGATGTTTCTCTCCCTTTCTCTCTAAAATCAACGGGGTGAGGATTAAGGAAAAAAAAGTTCTTCGGTGATCTTAAGAGAGGTAGGAAACACCTCAAATATCTTTTTTTAGATAAGACCTTTCTTGTTTCTTCCCTAATTGTACCCCACCCCAAAAAGGCAAAAAAATAATTTTT